GTCCAGAGGAGGGGGCAAAGGAGGCGATGAGGTGGGGGTAGAAAGTTGAGATGAAAGCAGACCACAGAACATTGTTAGGGAGCAGGAAAGGATGTGAAAGAAGACCATTTTAGAGAAAAAAATTTTCCGTCGTTATCCGAATTCGAACCCGGGACCATTGAATGAGAGGCGAACAACTTGACCTCTAGGCCACGAGAGCTCCCAGGCAGACTTTATGAAAAGGTAACATGTTTTACATTAACTTTCAGAAATAAGGAAATACAATTTCCATGTAGTTTAGAGAGTGTAGGTACTTTATAACATTGTGGGTGTTGAGGTTATCAGAATAAAATGAACAAATAACGTTAGTTTATTCCAGAGGAAAAGGCTGGACAGAGATAGATAGATAGATAGATAGATAGATAGATAGATAGATAGATAGATAGATAGAAACAGTGTTTGAGTAAAGATAACCAAATTGGAAAAATAATTGATTTTAGTCCGGGGGGAAAAAGTAAAGTAGCAGGCCTACAGAAAAAAAACAGTGTATGTATGTATGTATGTGTGTATGTATGCAAGCATCTGTCTCTGCCAGTTTGTGTGTATGTGTGTTTGAGGGGGGAGGGTGGATTGGTTTCTACTTCTTTGTGTTTCCTCTGATTTTTCCGTCCGTTTATCTTACTTTTATGTGCCGTAAATGACTATTATTGTGTGAGTCATCGACAGAAAATAGCGTATTTCCACAGACGTCAGTGAGACTGTGCCCATGGGTTTAAGTACAAATAGTACAATTTTGTCTTAAGAAAACCCTTAAATCTTTAAAATGTCTTACCTGTACAGCACAGATATGACTACAATATCATTATTTTCATCACATCATCATCATCATCATCAGTGTCTTTTTATTTGGGTGGTTTTGAGGGGGTGGGTGTGGGTGTGTGTGTGTGTGTGTGGGGATACTTTTACTAAGCTGTACTGCTGCAGTCAAAGATGTACATGTTTTCACTACTATCGCACCCTCTGTCAAATTTCACCCATTGATTCTGTGAACACTTACTGGCTGTCCAGGCATTCCCGGCATGCCAGGTTGGCCTCTCAGACCTCTTTGGCCGACAGGTCCAGGTGGACCTGGCAGACCGGGGACTCCCGGCACCCCCTGCGGCCCTTGGATGCCAGGCTTGCCGGATGGGCCTCTCTCTCCGGGCTGAGGATGGGAACAAAAAAGAGAGAGATACATAAACAAAACAAAATGCTTCAACAATGGCATCAAAAAGTTGCATGAACAGCAACAACAACAACAACAATACTAATATTAACAGGCTAATAATAATAATAATAATAATAATAATAATAATAATGATAATAAAGATAATAATAATAATAATAATAATAATAATAATAATAATAATAATAATAACAACAACAACACTAGTAGTGATAATAATAATAATAATAATAATAATAATAATAACAACAACAGTAATAAGAATAATAATAAAAATAATAATACTAATGATAATGATACTACTACTACTACTACTACTACTACTACTACTACTACTACTACTACTACTACTACTACTACTACTACTACTAACTACTACTACTACTACTACTACTACTACTACTACTACTACTACTACTACTACTACTACTACTACTACTACTACTACTACTACTACTACTAAGAATAATAATAAGAATAAGAATAATAACATTCACAAATGTGAAAAGCAACAACAGAAACAGAAACAATCGTTTTACAACAATATGCCATAGGTCTAGATCTATAAGTTAAATATACTTTTTCTTGCAACAAGACATGGTAGTGTAGTTTATGGCGAATACAACTCTCCGAGTGCGTAAATGTTACCAATAATAAAATATACTTTCCAAGAGAACATAGATCATCTGAAAAGGTCCCTAACAAAGTTCAAAGTGCATTTTCATAAAATGAATATATAAGAAATGATAATTCCAAAAACAAACAATACAAACAAATATTAGAAAAATAACAAGAACCGATGTTTACGGAAGGTCAATAGGCTTTATGAGGAATAAGACGTCATTTTACAGTTTGCTTTCTGTTTGATATGTATGTACATAATGCAAATCAATGGTAGGGTTCTCATATCTGAATAGGTCCCTAAACACCCTTTGATTCAGTTGGGCTTCTTGAGACGTTCAAAAAGCAGGAACAAAAAAGCCATTGTTCAAAATAAATCGCGCTCAACGAGAAGCAGTTGTAGGTAAAGCACCAGAAGAGCTTTCTGACCCGATAAGAGGTCACTTAACCTCTCAACACCGCGGCTTTCATCTGCTGGACGGGACACATCATCCATCGTGGAGGGAACGAGGAAGAAGAAGTCTCAACCACTCGACTTCCGGGCGCTTTACGCATCAATAAATAGAAAAGCTGAGCACTGAACGAGCTAGCAAATTAACTGTGCATATGGACTTCATGGGAAACGAGGCTTGTCTGTACCTTTTCCATGTCTGTGCACTGAAGAACCCCACCTTTGCACCACACTCCTTGTACGGACCCTTTCCCCCAATCTCTCGCCCCCTCCACCCCTCAATTTCAATCCCACAAGCCCACAAGTAGCTAGAACTATACAAAACCACTGAAGAACTCCCACCCCACCACACCCAGTACTGACCCCTCCCCCTCTTCCTCCCCTTTCCACCCCCTTTCAACCACAAGCAACTAGCACTCTACCATAAATGTCTCAACTTTGTATCCACAGACATGCACCGGTGGGATCATTAGTTCCTCCTCAAAAGTTGGGAAGTTGTAAAGTAAACGACAAATGACGGTGTTAGTGGGAACACCCTAGCGGAGTTTGTCAACCTGGAGACTCATAAACACCACGGGCCAATTCGCTCCCGCTGGCATCCGCGATCCGAGAGCGACGCACATCGGCGACAAGAAAATAAACAAGACAACTGGTCTCAATAAAGGATGAACTGCGCCAGGAATTTGGGCTGGGGCATGTCTAGACGAGTTAACCCCCACCCCACCCCATGCCCCTGTTTCCCGAAAGCGCACAAAGCACCGAAGGGTGCACACAACTTAATAAGAGTCTTAGTGTTACACGGGCGGAATCAGAATAGCCAAACAAATTAAGAGGCGTGAAAGGAGTCGGCCAAATTGTTGGAAATCTCGTTATGGGTCCCTTTCAATGTAGACCTTTGTTTAAATCGCGTTCACATACCCGAATTGCTTGACTTTAAGTACTATCACATACAATATTTACCGTATTATGTACACAGTCACCTAATTTTAACCCCCACCCCTTAAAACATTTTTTTTCGACATACTAAAACTGGAATTTCATATGCGCGCTCTTTTGAAACCTTTAAAGACAAATTGGGCCTGAACATAATAGGTTTCTGAACACGATAAAAAGAAACGCACCTTTAACGTAGCTTGTTGTGTACAACCTACAAGTATCAGGTCATATTGTTTAGAATAATAAACGTGCTGATATTCTGAACATCCAATTATTTTTGCAGAGATAGTTGTCCCGTTCTTACTGCAAAACACTCTTAAAGGTCTATACCATGCACAGGAAGACCTGACAGGTTTCTGGGCCGTATGGCCAATCGTAACGTATATTAATTAAGAAATGCGGCTCAAACTGAAGGGGAACACCCGGCAATTAGCCGTCCGCCGGATGTCAAGAACCCACAACCGCTGCTTGTGAATTTGATGTCCGGCCATCCGGCCTTGAGGGGGATGGCGACTAATCTTTGAAGTTTGCTGCGCCGGGGACAACAGAACTAATTACAAAATTATAGAAAATCACGTCGTAGATAAAAAATATAATACCAGATTCAGAATCCGCGAACATTCCCGATTGTTGTGTGATAGTACTTAAAGTCAAGCAATTCGGGTATGTGAACGCGATTTAAACAAAGGTCTACATTGAAAGGGACCCATAACGAGATTTCCAACAATTTGACCGACATCTCTCAAGCCTACGAGGGAAATAGCTCGCGAAAGACTTGTTTCGTCTTGTATTTAAGGATTTCCATTCCGGCGCTTTTTTGTTTTGCGCGCGAGGCAAGAGATGCAAATATGTGTCTTCGTCCATTCTCATGAAGTTTTTGAAATCTTCCGGAAGTGCTCTTATCTCATCCAGTAGAATTGTATGCGAAAGCGCATTCCTCTTCTATAACAAACCCTTTGACCACATACGAAATTGTTTTATTTTTTCTGTTCTTTTTTTAACACAACAAAAAATCGCTAAATCATCCAGAACTGTTCTATCCGCCATGATGCATACATGTATGTGAAGTTTCACCCAGACTAGGCCTAGTGCGTAGAATACGTTGCTTGCGAGATGCGGCAGCCTTCAGGTCGATTGTGGCGTGTACTAGATCTAATAAACCAAGTTTTCTCGATTTCGTCTGGCCGTACGGCTTGCCTGTACATGTAATAGCTGCTTTTCTGAAACAAAATAAGCTTTTATTACATGTATTTCTCGTCTAAGATGCTTTCAGCCCTATTTAGCCCCCCTTTGTCTTATTAAAAAGACTAGAAAGAGAGTCTTTAGAGTGATGACGTCATTTTTGCAATCTCTATTTCCTGAAGCTATTGTCCAAATAGTAAAATTGTTTGCCTGTCTTTCTTCACCCCTTCCCCTGAACAACTAGGCCCCCCCCTCTCTCTCTTTAAAGGACATCAGTAGCCTTTACTGTTTTCCTTAAAGGACAAAAGTGGCCTTTAAGATTTTCCTTACCATTCCGCGGGATCCTTGAGTTCCTGGGGGACCCTGGAAAGAGAGAAAAAAAGTTATGACATAAAACAGGATGGTTATTTGCGTGTACACAGGAGCATGGAGGAACACGTGTGCGTGTGCGTGTGTGTGTGTGTGTGTGTGTGTGTGTGTGTGTGTGTGAGTGTGTGTGTATGTGAGTGTATGTGTGTGTGTGTGTATG